GCTTAGGAATCATTCTACTGATGAATTCAGCATTGAAATCCACTTCATTAACAACTATATTTTCTGACTGAAATACAAATCAATTTTGTTGATTGAACAAAATAGGCTCCTAGAGGTTAGTTACTTTGAAGTAATCGAGTACATTATCAATTWTCATACCTCTATCTTAAGAGGAAAACCATTTTTGACGTTCTTGACGTGTGATTTCAACATATTATGCGTCAAAAGCCTCATTTTTGCCTGTTTTTAATCAGAACTACTCACTGTGCACGTGTGGAGTGTATACGAGGGGAAATGAGGCGAGTGCACAGGAAACCCWGGCAAACAGCCCACAATATTGTAAATATCTGAACCAATAATCGAAATATGAGGAATAATTTCTTACWTGTAAATCTAAATAGCTTGTATTATTGAATTCACATAGCTTGTACTATCTCGTTTTGTAAAAAGTTTAAGGAAAAGTCTCAAATGTGCGGGCTTCCTATGTTAGCTGTTCCCAGTCTCTTGTCAAGTTGTCACAAATACAAGAATGGATGACACAAGCATCGACGACACTTTMAAGCTTTTGTGTAGCCATGTAAAACTTGATAGAGATCGTGGTGTTTCCTCTTTAGAAAACTTGTTATCTGAAAAGCAAGACGGGCTGCCTAACCAGGGTGAGCTTGAGTCCTCGCTTACTGCTTTGGTAGAATCCAGTGACTCCAAATGGGAGACGAGGTATGGGGGTCTCCTTGGGGCAAAGTTGGTTGTTTTGACTGGAAAGGCTAGTGAGTCATTCATGGAAATGATGAAAAAAGGTGCTTTTGTGCTGATGCATGATGACGAGTTTCGAGTTCGCATCTTGTCAGGTAAAATATTTTTATGATATTTTGAGCTTTGAATGGCTGACAAACCTGGAGCTTCATTCATTTTCAGGTGAAGTTCTTGGTGCCTTGTGTAGTATAAAAGGACCATCTGTTTACCTTCACTGTAGAGATGAAATAATGTCAAGTATTTCAGATAATCTTGAAAGAAATATACAAGATGGACCGACTCCTATTACGGAGGAACTTCAGAAGAAACTTTTAAGTGAAAAAGAAGGCATAAAGAAAACAGARTCTGTGAGTAAAAGATCAACCATATTGCCTGGAAAGTGGTCGTGTCTTTAAATGATAGATACCTATGAATAATTGCCTTTGTTATGAATAAAGGCTTGACCATTGTCCATTGTCTTGTCTACTGAGAATTGGAAACMCTTTTTTTATTCTATAAATTTTATATAGTCCAGTACACCAGCTGATGCAGCCAAGATATTTCATGACACAGCTGGCTGGAAGCATCTAGAGACAAGCATGAGGTAAGCTCCATTCTACTTATCTAGTGTCMCTTTCAATTATTATTTCATCATCCAGTAGTTTATTCTATTCCTTATTGCATATTATTGCAGATGTCTTCAATCATTAATMCAAGGATGTGGAGAAGCATTTAATGATCATGTAACACAAGAACTTCTTGACTTGRTCTTTCAAGCTTTGAACCACACAAACAGATTTGTTAGGGAGACTGGTWATCAACTATGTGGATCTCTTGTCAGTCTTGGTAGASCAGAAGGTCAGCAGCTAAATTCATTAAATACTCCATGATACCAACCAGGGTACTACAATATTTTTTGCACATCCATTTGACCCACTAAAAGTGGTCACCAGCAGCAATTGTGGACAGAATTAGAATAATGAATAGTACAAAATAGAATGAGTCATGTCTCACAGTAGTCTCCTCTCGCAGCCGTTAGGACGTTCGTTCCCAGGAGGGGAGTGACCTGGGAACGAACGTCCTAACGGCTGCGAGAGGAGACTAGTCTCACAGTGATATCGTTTACATTGTATTAAAACTGTTTAGTGTGATAATCATCATCTTATTCTGATGCCATATACATGTATTTGACTTCAGGAGATGACTTGTCAAGCATTAATATCAGTATTGCTCTGGACAAGAATGCAATTGTCCAACATGGTGACCAGTTTGCTGACTATCTAAAAAAAGGTCTTGCAGATAATTGGAGTCAGGTTAGAAGTCATTCGGTACATGCAAGAACTTGAGGGACACAATAGTGTGTCAACTCTGCCTTGCTCAAACAGTTTCCTTTTTGTATCTTTTGATGTTTTGTACAACAAATTGTACAAATAAATTGTGTGCAATGTAATATTGAGATGCTTTATGCAAAAGAGTTTGCAACTTCTGTATCTTYTTGAATTTGTCTGTAGTAATTTTTAATGAGAGATAATATTTGAATGGGATGGTTTCCAGATAGTACTTTAAAATGTGTAGAAATGTGATTATTTCTAATATTTACTATGTTAAGGTCAGACTTGCAGCTTCAATGGCCACTAGACAGTTCCTTCAAACTCTACCAGCTCCAACAAGAGAAMAATTTTATCCTAAACTTTTACCTGCAATGTGTTTAAACAGGTATAAAAAATTGCTTTATTTTATTCATCATATTCTTCCTAATGGTTGACTTTTTATCCACCATACCATTTTGAAGGTATTATGTGGCTGAAGGTGTAAGGATATACTCTCAGAAAAGCTGGAAAATGGTTATGGGCATGGAAGGCAAACAGCTAGTGGAGAAGTACATTAAAGAAACAGTATGTACTCTGATATGATAGTACAAGTTGAATCATWCTATGCTTTTTGATTCCAAGTTATAAGATACTGTATTTGCTTTGCATTCCAGGTAGAGTTTTATATTAGTCAGACTAAGGCCRATAATCATGCTGTGCGTGAAGCGGCTTGTGCTTGCATTGCTGAACTTGGTACAAAGGTTTGTTATATGCATTATTTAGCAATTAGATTATTGACTTCATGATTGAATGATAATGGGAATTCTTTTGCTGAAAACCAAAAAGGTTACTGTATCAAAGACAGTTGTGTTGTCAGATTGTTGTTTTGATGACAAACTGATAAATATTTTAGTATATAGAGTAATGGATTTAAAGTGATTCAATCAAAAATAGAGAATTAAAGGTTCATGCATCAAATCTAGGTGAACCCCGACTGTAACCGTCCATATGTTACATCACTACTGGATGCCTTGATAGTGTGTTTTAAGGATGATAGCTGGCCTGTGCGCGATGGTAAGCACTTTCTAGTCTTGTGTTTATTTATACTTTTTCCATGCTATTGCAGATATAACTGTCTTCTACCAGCAAGTTTACAGCTCTATTCATGTTTCAGAAGTTGAAGAATTAGGTTAAGTTGGAGATAAGAATTTTATACCTCTAACAATTTCTATTATCCMTTTTTGTCACAGCTGCCTGTGTTGCATGTGGGAACTTTATTCTKTGTTTTCCTGAGGAGTGTAGGTAATTCAAATATTAGTGCTTTAATATTAAAATAGTCAAACCAAAACAGAAAAATATGTTGGTCTCTGATGGAAGAAAACCTAATGGAGAAATTTGGGACACGCCGACATACGGATCTGTTCCTGACATTATATCAGTCACTAATCATCATCATGATTATAATCAAAAGATAATTTGGTGACTATAGGAATTGTAAATAAGCATCAAATAAGAAAGAAATTTATAAATCCAAATAATTTGTTTGATACCAGGACCCACATGGAAGAGCTATATCCGCTGTTCTTTACCAATCTTGAAGATAATATTCCATCTGTAAGACAAGGAGCTGCTATTGCTTTAGCTAATGTGGTCAAAGCATATGGTAATTTTGAATATTTCATTTCTTTACTTGAAGTTAAACACCACATAATGTGAATCAGACAAGTTCTTTGTTTGGCTCTTGATGTGAAAGTTTTTATGGATTTCTTCATTTTTACGTAGGAAAATCTGATACRTCAATTGTATTTGAGAAACTTAAATCAGGCTTAAAAGAAGTTGAGAATCAAAAAGAAACTGCTGAAAAGTATGTAAATAAAATGACTTTCTTCTGATATTCCTGTGTAAAGATTTTCTTGTGGCATCTTGATTTAATTTGATGTCATCTTTATTGATTGTTAGGTATAGTGGTATWGAGAAAGGACCTGCCACATTTGGTGTTGTTAAACGGTTGAGAGATAATGACATGGAGCTGCACACTAACAGACAGGTTAACTTTCATTTGATATAACAAAGCTTGTATGACATGAATCACATATTCAATGATTTGTAGATGTACTCTTGTGGTTCACTGGCTCCTAAAATGGGAAGAGGAGGTGGATGTATGGATCATTTATTTAAACGTGATCCTGAGCCGTGGGAAATAACTGATGGGTAAGTTTGGTCATTACACTGCAATGGAGAGATATACTACTTTGCACATCATACCATGAGGGAAACTGTTGGCCACCTGTAATGTGTTGTTGTTATTTTTAGGTGTATCTGTTTAGTGGTGGAGCTKTCAGATAACTCTCAAACTCATCAAGAAGTTGTTGGTTTCCTCCCTTTAGTTTCCAAAGCAGCAGAATTCAAGCATTATTCTCATCATCTTTATTTACTAGAAACATTGTGTAAACAGGTACTAAGAACTCTTAGTTGTCTGCTTCACACAGTAACCATGTTCCTCTTGAGCCTTACTCACTTGTGCTTCCTGTCACCCTCCATTGTTACTTGCTTCTTTAAATGCCATTCTTTTTGTAATAAAATTGTTGTTACGCCATACTCCTTCTTGCTGTCCTACATCCTCTCCCTCCCCTCCCTCCCTTGCATTATTGCTCATATTTCTATTTTGTTTCATTTCATTGTCTAGTTACCTATTCTTGCAAAACGACTGGGAAAGAGATTGTTCAAGCAATATTTAGAGTTGTTTATCGATGCTATATTCTATAGTGTAGTAAGTACTTTCTTTTCCTGTACATCCAGTCTTGGAGGACTCAAAGGGAAAGAGTCTCGACTTCATCACTTAATTGCTATTGTTTTGTTGTTGTTTCTTTCTCTATCAGTATATCTGTTCGTTTCTGAGTTCGCTTATTTTTATTCGTTTGCCTTTAATTGTCGCAATTTTGTAATCATCCTCGGAAACCCAAAGATTCTTAGCTTGTTCCTCGAAATAATACCCCTGCGCTCCCGAGAATGTTTAGCACTATTTGGTAAAGCTGATTTTGTTTGCAGACRAGTGAAAACAACTTGACGTCTGGAGCAGCAACAGAGTSCTTGAATTTCCTKAGGCAGTTCCTTGGCCCATCAATATTGAGAGGTCGTGTAGAGATGGCTAATCCCAGGTAACATTAATCAAATGAAATGCATTGGTACATAAATAAACTCAAAACGCGTCACATTTTTTTCTCAGATACTTACCACTTTTGGATCAAATACCTCAACAAGGCTGGCCTATGCAATAGATATAAAAACTATATCTCATACTACTGCTAGTAGAGACCAAGCCCGATTTTCATGATTTATAATAAATGTGATCTAACTTGCGACGCATAATTATTTTTATAACTCTCTTCTGCGATACAGCACATTTGAAATGCGATGGTTGAAATGGACAGTCAAATATTATCTTATAAACATATAATTTCAAAAGACAGTTATATTACCGATTAAATGCATAATATTCATTTATAATAAACTTAAACACGGTAAAGAATCAACGCCCAGAATATTTTTATTTCACCTGTTTTTGAGAACACTAGCTAGRAGTAATAAAATGTAACACAATTGTAAGTTTTTGAGTATATACAATTAAAACCCGACATCTTATTAGTAAAAAGTTAACTTTTTAACTTGCTTGGCTTTCTTGTAGTCCAGACAGTGTCGGTCACCAAAAACAAACGAGTCGGTGCCCTTCATTCCYAAACCAATCGCAGTCGAGCTAAAACTGCTATCACATATAATCAARAAGTCACATTCACTTAAGATGAAGTGGTCTACCAACATACCTATGATTCCYYGTGTGATTTGATGTTTGGTGCGTTTTATTTTAACATGTTTTGTGTTTTTGCGAAAGTTAATTTTGCGGTTTTTGACATTGTAAAGAACGTCCAAATGTTGGATTGARAGATTTGTGGTGATGACTTTTCYAGGAAAGTATTTTGTAGCAAATCGCTTGACTTTGATATGATCGCTTGCAAGAAACCATTGGGTATCGCTTGTCTTTKCGTCTTTGAAAAYTGTTTGTTCAATGTGCTTTGCGCACCKAAAGAATYCYWYYAAATTTGATGTRTTTCGTAGATTWAAAGATCTRTCATCCATCTGTGCGTTGTAGTTAAACTGTTTATCACCTGTTCTGATGTGTATTCCAATCGTTGGTCCTTTAGATTTGTGCAGTAGACTCCTCCATTGTTTAAGGTGGCTCTCGACAAGATTTGARCGTTGAAACAAAAAATCGAAAGCGCATCGTATTAGAGAGTATTTAGGGCCTGGCGATAATAACGGAGTAATTCCCARTTGCTTGGYACGMGTCATTAGATATGGATTGCTATCGATTCCACCATTAACRAAATACCAGATAGTAGTGATCTTCTCAACAGGTTGATCAAAATAACGACTCAGATTTGTCGAAACAAACCAGTTTCGGAAGTGTTTACTATCTTGTATAATCCAGCCCTCTGCTCTCTTTTTGTCAGCACCGGCAGTTCCCCAATAGTGACTGCGTGAATTATATTTCGTGGAAACATCTAACGGTGCAGAATAATTCCATTGGATTTTATTAGGCTTGAGGTGGTTCTCGATTGGCTCCGGAGCAATCCAATCAATCAAGAAAGCTCTGTCAGTCAACACTGCTAAGTAGAATAGCGAAACTAAAGCTCGCAAACGGTTGCCATAACCACAACAGCCTTGTTGAGTTCCTGGACAATTATATGCAAGGTATCTTTTTTCCTGTTTTGAGGCAAGGATACTTTTATGGAGACGAGCGTATCTCCCTTGCCAGCCTGAGCCGCAAAAGTTGGAATGGCTATAGTCGGATTCTCGTGACTTTCCCGCTTTGTCAACTTGTTCCTTGATTGGTAGACTTTTCCTTTCTTTACCTGCGTCATCCTTTCTTTCTGGCGTGCCATTCAATCGCTCACCTAAAATGAAAACCATGCAATGCAACATGGCAATTAATATATGCAATTCAAGTTATTTTGAAATGTCTGCATTTTTAGTGACTATTTAAAACAAGTTGTCAGGGGAATTGTTCCTTATATCATCTATAATTGGAAAAATCTTGGAAAAATTCTCTTTGATTTGGCCGATTTTCCAGTCGCCTTCTTTTAGGCAGCTTACACATTTCTCTCCCTTTTCTCTCTCTCTCTTAAGTGTTCTTATTCTTATTTTGCCTTCCCTAACGGCTCTTGTTAAGCCACTGAAGGAAACACCTATGCGCGTTACTTTTTCAATTGTCAGTCTCGTTTTCTTCTAGCGTCTAAAAGGGTTTTTACGTGGCACAAACCTTTGCAAATATTATTAAGCTACTGAACGAAAAACAGTGCGCGTTGCTTTTTCAATTTTCTGTCTAGTTTTCTTCTCGCGTCTAAAAGGGTTTTGCGTGCGGCACAAGTAACTGCTCTATTACTTTTAAAACAATGAATTAACTTATGGGTAAATCTAGTACAGTAATTTGTCAGTTCATTTTTGTGCGAATACATTTACTCTTTTCATGACATATATCCTTACCTGCAAATSTTTTTTCCCAATTCGAGGATAAATTGTATGCAATAAATGTTGAAAGAAKAACCACAAAGAACACCAAATATTTTCTAATGTGTAGAAAGTTTGATGGGAAACACTGTTTCTTCATTTTACCCATTTWAACAAGAACAGGTTAAAAAGACTTGATGAACAGTCGGCATTTTATATGCAGAAATGAAACACTTTTTGTCGCATCTTGATCAAACAACCCTTTCAAGATGTGTTATCTTCATAATAAATAAGACCTAAATTTTAATTGCATACTTTTCCGTTGCTAGGAAAGCGTCGTTCGCTTAAGGAATGCCGTCTATAGATTGGAGTAACCCGTCAGTACTACTAAATTAGCTGGGCTTTCGAAAGTTGTCATACAGTCAGAGAGCTGTAAAATGTAGTTGTCACGAAGAATATTACATGTAACGTGTGTATATATTCAAGATTATACCAAGGCACAAAAGCTTACTGTCTAAAAACAATAGAAATTGAACAGAATGACTTGGGGCTTGTCTGGTAACCCATAGATATGATATTTGTTTTTTTGATGTTTTTTTATTCTTCTTTTAAAACAAAGAAAAGGATAAAGCAARAGAGAGCTGGTGCTACTGGCTTGTYGAGGGTTAGTACACACAAGACAATGGGGTGTTGACGTTATGTACAGAAAACATCTCACCCGGTTTTCACCTAGTAAAAACTGAATAAGATTGTTCTGATAACTATATCCATGAAATACTATATTTCTACTTTCAAAAGTTATTTCAAAATATAATCGTTTCGTGTGCGATCTTTTCAGCACACGATCTTTTCAGCACACGATAAAATCCTTATCTCCCCCGACCAGCCCATTTAATATCTTCTACTTGTCGACCACTCAGATAATATTTATTACACACAAATATACTATAAAATGCTTTGATTTTTTCAGTGCTTCATTTTTCAGTTATACARAAGTCTGTTGTCTTTTAGTTCTTGGGTCAGATACCGACAAAMAYTGAGAAGCTTGTCCTTCTTMTGAGGAACATTAGTTGCTTTCACGCGARACTGCGTGCTAGACCATACTGGATCTGTCCTTGTTCATATTGGTTTCGATATACCATAATTCAACAATATGTAAATGCGTAGTGTTACGCAGCTCAGACATTTCCGTAGATATAGCAGACGTTGGCGGCCCTACTGTCTATAACTACTGATGACGTTGATAATACACGCATTAATGTTGTTGATAGCTGATTACGAATCGTCACTTACGTAGATGACGTAGATGTTGTCGAAAATAATATATCTGCTATATATCTACATTGCTATTCCACTTTCTTCATTACAAAGGGAAACGTAACAATGCGTAGTTCTTTTCCGTAGCTGCTTGCGATGCTAGCAGAGTCACTAAAATAGATGTTAACGCTATGTGTATAAAATTGTATAAAATTATCACTCCACTTTGTTCATTACGAAGGGAAACGTAACAATGCGCAGTTCTTTTCCGTAGCTGCATACGATGCTAGCAGAGTCACTGACATTGATATTCCGTACAATAACAGAGCGATCACCACCATCCAAAGGAATAGTTTTGATCTGCTTGCCTGTATGAAGATCCCACAATGCAATACAACCCTATATTAGAGAAACGCCAAAATCAGTTCAGAATTGTATAAATTGAGTCCTTTCGCCTCGAAAAAGACCTACCTGTCCACCAGTTACAAACAAGTTACTGGACATCATGACCATATTTGAACAGAAATCTGGAAACTAGAAAAATACATGGAAAAGAGGTCAAAGAGTGCAATTAAAAGTAGAACATTTCAGTGGAAAAGTATGAAAAATCGTAATGAAATAAATTTCATTACCTGTTTTAGTTTGTAGTGAAGACATTTGCCTTTTCGTCTGTCCCATATACACATAGAATTATCAATGCTTGTGCTAATGATGTGGTCTTTTGTACAAGCAAGGGCTATCACTGAGCATGTGTGACCTCGTAAGTGTAGAAGGCATTCTCCAGTTGTAACGTCCCACACGCGTACGCCGCCGTTTGATGCACCACTTATCGCGTAGTTTGGTTCATTCTGATGATGCAAGATAGGTTTAGATAGGCTGACATAAAACGACTTGTGTGCGTCAAAGTTAATATGGCTAAATAAATATAAATGTAGTTGGGACGATTGTAATCACCTGTAGAACAGTCAAAGCGGTTATACCATCTCTGTGACCGTGAAGAGTGAAGATACGAGCGGCGTCGTGCGTTCGGAACACCTTGAAAAGATTAACAATTACAAATCATTAAGATACATCATTATATAATAACCAACACACTCAACGACAACCATGCACGACATACAACCATTACAAACAATAACAACAAACATCCACACAAACAAAAACAGCGTCCAAAATACTGGCACATCCACCAACTCCTTTTACAGCAACAGCAAAGATGACATTAGCAATCAAAGGGAAAACAAAGTCTACAAGCGYACCTTCAAGGTCCTATCGTGGCTCCCAGTGATGACATTGTCTTTAGTAACAACCATAACACTTGCAGGTTGATGATGAGCCCGCACTCTATGTGTCAAGCTGCATCTAATGGGAACAGAATGTGCTTGCACAGGACTTGTGTCACTGGAAGCTGAATTATTTCTTGGATTTTTACATTGTACTTTAGGAGAAGAACGCTTGAAAGGTGCAATGTTGTTTCTGGTACTTATTGTAGGATCAAGGAGAGTCAAAAAATCCAAAGTACCATCCAGTCGAGMCAGGACCAAAACAGGACTAAATACAATACTTTGATTAGCAATGCAAACAAGGGCATATAATGACGAAAAGAAAGCTGAATATAAAAAATACAAGTGAATAAATGAATGAAATCAACCCAAAAATAAYACWACAAACAAACTTTACCTATCAGGAAGGAATGCAACAYTTGTAATACCACTACTTTTTTCGYTGTAAAGACAAAGTTGMCTCCCCGAGCTGAGACTCCAAAGCTGAAAAAAATAATTTCAATTTACTACAAACACGTCAGATGACAGGTGTTCTATGGAGAATATTTTATTGCGTTCTTTTACGTTCATTTAAACATTTTACGTTTCGTGTTTTTTCTTTGGAAGACTACTGTACATCAAATGACAACATAGTGGGCGAGAACAAGGATGTTACCTCAGCAACTCCATCACTGCATCCTGTCGCCAAGATATCATCTTTACAATCAAGAYACCACACAGAAGCTGATCTGAATTCATCTAGTGTGCCATTTTGTGTACTATTTAAATGCTCATCAGAGCCAGAAAATATTAGGTCTTCCTCACTTGACCAAGAATTTTCCAGTGACTGTAACGACCCAAATGATGTTATCTTTGGAGAGCCACCTTGGCACGATGGTCCAAAATCATAACCTGAATTCTCGCTTACGCAAGAACTTACAGAACCAGTGCGGCTTTGGCTGCCTGGCTCTTTAGCTGTAGGACTTTGATGCCCATTGACCTCAACTACAAATAATCCACACAAAAAAAAGAATGGAAATGAAACGGCGAGTCTGTCACTTAATGAATTATAAAACAATAAAACATCCAAGAGAACAAGGATTTAAGCTTACCACAGCTATCCAATTCAGCGTTGTTGCCATATAACAAAACATCTGGTAGCGAGGCATTCATTGATGTATCACCATGGCCATTTTCTAGACTTTTGACGTACTTTGATCTTGTATGCGTTTTATCAGAATCATATTTAAGCTTCTTTTTTGTGACACATCTTTGTCGAGATGAAGGAATTTCACTAAGACAAAATTTCATGATTTTATATGAGGCAAAAATGTGAGAAAAAAGGTGAATATGAAGTGGTAAAAGTGCGAGGAATACCGATTTGACAGGGAAACATAAAATATCAATATATTTTCAAAAAATATACCTGGTTCTTTGGATAACTCTAAGGCATTCCCCAGTGGTTCTACTCCAAACTCGAACTTGACCACTCAAGCAAATACTCACTATGCTTGATGCAGTGCACTTCATGTGTTCCACATTCTGAAGGGACGAATATTTAAACCAATTTTGAATAAGAATACAAATGACAACATAACAAACTAAAATAAGTTAGAACTAAAGACTAAAAATGCGCTTGAAATTTCACTTGACAAATTAAAAAGTAACGACCCTCACCTGACGGTGACCTCTAAGGCTCAGAGGTACAGCTTCGACCAAGTTTTCATATTGAAGTCCTACCTCTCTGAAGGACCTTGACTTTGGCCGAATTTGCAAGTCATTRAGATATTTACACACAAAGAATAAMACTATCATCACTATCACACCCAAAACAACACAATTGAGAGCATTTAGGTAATACTCTGGGTCTCTGGAATTAAGAGGCATATGTTTTGGATCGGGACCATGGATTGAGGATTCAGGGAATGGTGTTGCTTTTACATCTGCTGTTTCATCTTTAGGTGTAAATGATGGAAGATCAATCGTAAAGCCAAGATGGACAGGAGGTAGGATACTAATGTATCTGCATGAGAAAAAAGTGACTGTTATAATCTGCTATAATCAAGATGAATACTATAGCATGTGAAACTAAGATATCAAAAATGACAATGTTATTTTAGGATATGATCATTATCACAATCATAATCATTTTCTCTTCATGCCATTAGTCAGATAAGTCTCACATGCACAGTCAACAGTTCGTTCTCTGCCTCTCACGCTAATCCCCAATATCTTTAACCCCCCCTGTCTCTTTGTCATGTTAACCCCCCCTGTCTCTTTGTCATGTCACTGTCCTTCTCCAAACTGTTTTTGCCTGACTTTTGCCTTTTGTAGGTATAGTACAGGAGGACTATTTTCCCAATTTGTGTTATTAACCCAACTCTTTAACAACTAGTAACCGTCTTTAAATAATCCAGTTTCGAATTCTCCAATGCTCTGTGTTAGCCTCATTTGTGCGCAAAATATTCCTAATTGTGAGAATAAAAGTGTGAGATTTCAAATGAATTCCATTGTTTTTCTTTTCAAATTCCATGCGTTTTCTCGGGCTATCAATGAAACAAAAGAATATGTTGCTTGGTTTTGAGGCTAACACAGAGCAAACCAGAACTCGAAATCGGAGTATTGAATACTCCAAGTCCAAGATGTCTCTTACCTCCCTAACAAACTTGTGTTGTAGTAGCTTAACAACTGTGGCCAATGGTACTTTGTCAAACCTGTCCAACCATCATTACTACTTGGTATATCTTTGCTGTGTGATAATTTCATGTCGTTATGTTCTTTCTCTGTGGCCATATTGGAAACATTTTGAGACCCTTTGTCATGATCTGCAACAATCTTTTYAATRATTTTGCTCAAAGACATTTCTTCTCCAGATTCCTGATCAGGTGAATCTGACGTCAAGTTGCGRAAAGTACTTGGTGTCACRGAATAAAACAYRATGTAGATAAAATACAGCACAGCACACACCTAGAAATGAAGGATTTCTTGGAGTRAGAAGAACTACCAAWATTRATTTGCAAAAATATTGGAAATTCAAAGATATAAACATGTAAATAAATAAATCAATATATTGAMAACTCACCATGCAGGCACGCTGCACCATACGGGTTCTTGCCCAAAAATTAACAAGCTTGAGTCTCTTGCTTCTGACAGGCATAACAGGGCACTGGGGTGGGTTCCTGATAGAGTCCATAGGTAAAGGAGGTAGGATATGGGGAGCTGACTGTCTGTT